ACATTGAAAAGACTTTACTTGACAAAAGCAGAGAACATACACATATGATATTACGTCATAACACACACTTCAGCCATCAACATCGCTTACATTATATTCATGTTGAAGTTTTTAACGTATCATCCTACACCATATCCTCTGTCTGTCCCTCTCTCTGGCTACTCGAATCTTTGTTCATGATTTGTCACAATACACGTCACTCGAGATCACCATAAATAAATAAATAAATCAACCAGTTCTAGAAAGGGTTTTGAGTTTAATTAAATTAGAGATGTAATATCACAGTGGTAATTAATCAATCAGAAATATTATGTCGTACAAGAAGATGAAGTCATGAGGGTAATAAGATGATGAGAGAGAGAGAGAGAGAGAGAGAGAGAGAGAGAGAGAGAGAGGGGAGATGAGATGTCCAGTGCAGGTTAGTGAAGAGGTGGTTGCTGAGTCAATTAGTCTCTAAAAAACCATGATTAGGCACAGAGAATTTGGAGGAGCAAGGCTCATGATTATGGCAAAGACACATGAAAACCCTCATAACAGAAAATCTTTTCTATGTAATAATAATGTAAATATATATATATAGGTAGCTAGTGGTACCGTTATTTGTGTGGGTGCAGTGAGAGAGAGTCGCACTAAAATCTTTAGTAAGTGGCCGAAGGTATGTTGTTGTATATATACTCAAAACAAATCATTAATTAAGTGACTTAGGTAGTTAAATGTGGATTGACTTAGATAAAACATGCATATTACTACATTTTGAATTTATGCAATGCACTAGAGTCAGTTCATGATGCCAAAAATGCCCCTTATGGGGACAAGATTCATCCACTTAATGTTGACGTCTTCATATATTAACTCTCTCTCTTTTGTCATCTAAGTCAATTACCCTATATTGCGCAAATTATGCCACAAATGACATCGTTTATAATTTTGTTTGCATAAATTGAGTATTATACTTTTCTGGAGAGCTTAAATGATTTGGAGATAATCACTCTCGACCCCTCTCAACTACCATAATTTCCCATAATCTAGTCTAATGACATTAAGGACAAAAAATAGCCGCTAGCCGAAATGACTCTCTTAGAGAGATTAAGTACACCCAACAAACTCAACTAAGTTTCTAGAATAATAAGAGAAAAAACACAGAAAACTCATAGAGTTCATGGACTTTATTGAACAAACTAAACTAAAATAATATAAAAACTAAAACAATGCTGACAAAAGGAAAATCAATCACCGCTGATCTTTCTTCGGGACATGACATAGAGAGCACCACCTAGTTACTTTAGAGCCTCAATACACCAATAAGCAGTGGATCTATCATGACCAAAATGCAACCTCGAAGAGCATTCTTGCAAGATGAGGCACAACCAAAGTCAGCCCATATTTAAGACAATAGATCTGCCAAAGGAACAATAGATCAACATAAGTCCACCAAAAACTGAAGATCCGAAGAGATCCAGGAGAAAACCCCCGATCTAAAGCTAGCTGTCTCTAGTATTATACCTTTGTCAGCAGATGTACGTATATTCTTGGAACTTGTCGAATGGAGATCGATGGGTTGGGGTTAAAAACTGTTCTAAAAAACTAAGAAATAAGGAAATTAAATACTTTGCAAGTTGGCTTTCTTCTTCTTCTTCTTCCTTTTTTTATATTTTATATTTTAATTTTTCCTTTTCTTTCTTAACTCTCACACGAGTTTGGAACAATTGTAATATGGGAAACTGTTTCTTGGAAAAACCTTCCACAAGCTTTGGCAAATACGTGTCAAACTGGACATATCACTTCACTCGTATATGAAGACAATGCACGAACGTAAACATGAACTTGAGCACTGATTTTTGTCCTAAGTTAAGTTTGATTTGAGGGCTTCTAACAACCTTTGAATATGCTATATGACGTCCCGTATACGTTGATAGGAAAGGTCATTGACATTAGGCTTTCATTTTGAGATGACGTGTTATGTTTAATCTGTAAGAAACGAGCATAATCCGCTTGTATGTTTTATCCCACTAGTGTTGCTCAGTATGAATGTGACGGGTAAAGAGTTTGTAACTTAAGTAGTTAAGAGTATTTACTCTTATACCAGAGGTCCTAAAGTTCGATGTCCTCCTCTCCTAATATATACTTGTATAAAAAGATAAAAAATAAATAAAAAGCAACGGGATAATATATGGAAAAATAATTAGACTAGATCAATCGTTACAATTCCTTTCTATTGTAACAGAACAAAATACCGAGGGAAAAAAACAAAATATATGAAGAGGGAATTTGATCAAATCTGTGAGGGGTCACATTAATTAGGACATGGTCTTTCGTTTCTTGTTCAATTGTGGAACTATTAGACCACGTGTGAAAAGATTCATCAGTTACATGTACAGAATTCTTGGAAGGAAATTAAAATTCAAGCCAAATCCAAGAAAGGAAAACGCAAAAGGCCAATCACCATTAATATGGATACAACCTACCCCATGCAGTTGTTCAACAATAGGTCACATGGCCATCTTCCACGATCATATAATCTCACCCCAAAATTCCTTATATAGCACGTACTGCACTCATTCAATTGTACCGTTTGTTTATACATTATAAGCATGTGTTATATTTATTTGTAGTGTGCTCCATGTATTTTGTTAGTTTTATTTGTAATGGGCTCTATATCCGTTTGTATTACATTTTGTGTGAACTTAATTATTTGAGTTCATTTTGATGTAATCTAGCTTCGACCTTCTATTTAATGAAACTCGATTTCGACCAAAAAAATTAATTAAAAAAAAACCATGTATTATATTTATTTGGCCAATTTAGTCCCCGTGTTTTCAATTTGGTCAATTGGGTCCTTGTGTTTTATTCTGTTAGCCAATATTGTCCATTTCATCAAACTACCATTAAAAAAATTAATAAATTTTTTATTAAGTTTGGTTTGCAAATAAAATAACAAAATATAAATAAAAAATATGGAAACCCAACAACCTCTATGTCATCTTCTTCTCCCATGCCGTCACCACCACCACCACCATAAACACCATCAGCAGTACCAGTCACCACCTACTCTCTCTCTCTCTCTCTCCCCGCCTCGGTTTTCTTGGCCGCATAGCCCATGTATCAAAAAAGAGTTGTTGTAAAGCCATTAAGTAGTGAAGGAGTGCAACGTTCAATAATGAATGCCAATAGTGAAAGAATTTCTAAATATTATTTAAACTAATAAAAAATCTCTTAATTATTAAGAAACATAAAATTTTAATTTAAAAATAAAAGATCAGTTTTAACACCATAATGATTAATATATCAAAAAGAAAATGTACAAAAAGAATCGAGAAGGGAAGGGAGAGGAAAGAGAGATGGAGAAGTTGCGGGTCATGGTTGGGATGAATAGGTGGTAGAGAGAGAGAGAGAGAGAGAGAGAGAGAGAGAGAAGGGGGTGGTGGCTAGGGCTGCTTATTGGGGTCGGGGTTGGGTGGTGGTGGTGGAATGAGAGAAGAAGATTGGGTTTCCTGATTTTTTTTCTTCTTATTTTTATTTATATTTTTTATATTGTAAACTGAACTTAATAATTTTTTATCAGTAATTTGGCATAATGGACAATATTGGCTAACAGAGTAAAACATAGGGGTTAAATTAGCCAAATTAAAAACACAGGGACTAAATTGACCAAATGAGTAAAACACAGTGACCATTTTTACATTTAAGCCTAAATTATACTTTGATTATTTAATATTGTCCCTCTTTAGCCTCCGTTTTGATGAGGGAAAATAACTTAGAATTTAGCTAAAATTCGGGAATTTAAGAGGAGAAATTGACAATTCCCTTATTTGGCAAAGTTAAGCGTGGAATTTATTAAATGACGTGTTGCAAAAATCATGGAAACCTTATCATCAAATTTCCGAGTTTAATTTCCATCAATATATGTGTTATTTCATAATTTTCATAGTGTCATTTACAAAATTCTGTCATTTACAAAATTCGACATACATAAATCCAAATATCGAAATATTCAATTGACAGAAATTGAAATGATGAAAATTGAAATTCCGTCATTTTAGAATTCTATATAATTTTCAATTTTTTCATCCAAATGGAGGGTTATAATATAGTACTCTCTTCCATATAATTCACCTAGTTAGACTAATTGGTCAATACAGTGTGTCTGTTCCCTTGCACCTAATTTCAATCAAACTCTTCGTACATTAAAATAGTTTAAAATATCGCAATGTCAAAATTAGAAATAAATCATTAGGTTTATGTGGAGCCTAGCTAGCATAGCTTAGCCTAGCCTCACAGTTGGTGACATGCAATGTTTAATTAGTGCAAAGTAATAATGTGATCAACCGAGAGAAATAGCATATGGGAGATCCACATTACACAAACCAAATATATGTATATATTTCACAATTAATTAAATCTCTCCCACAAAAGGTCATCATGTCTTTTTTCTGTTGAGGGACCATATGAAAGCTCAGTGCCTCCAGACCCCATCATCTCTGTCTCTCTCTTGCCCTTCTTGTCGTTGAGGGTGGTTGCACAAGTAAAACGAGTGACATGTACTCACAGAGAGAGAGAGAGAGAGAGAGAGAGAGAGAGAGAGAGAGATTCTCTTGAGGATAGAATAGTGGTGGTTTTGGAGGTGCTTTTCAAATAGATATTAAGGTCGAGGGTCATAGTTGAGATGTGGGCGTGCCCTCCGCACACACTGACTTCACAATAATATTGTTGCCTCTCTAACGCTTTTTTTCTTCTTTTTTTTTTCATGTGAACCCCATTTTACTACCTATATTAGCATGGCCCACGACCCTTCTCTCTCTCTCTCTCTCTCTCTCTAGTCCCTACAGTTTAGGTGGTTGGCTCTTCTTCAAGGGATGGACCCCACTCTAAGTACACTAATAGCCATGATACCTAAGCTTTTCATGCATTTTTGGACCCTTCCATGCCCTACTCCCATTATAAATTATGACTGTGGTACGCTTTACGATATCAAAACCCCTCTCTCTCCTTGTTTGTTCTAGCTCCTTCAATTCCATTCTCTCACCGCCAGGAAGTTTTCTTTTTTCTTTTTGGTTTTTCTTTGTTATAATGGCTGAGGATCATATGAATCTATCAATAAACGGCCAGTCTCAAGTTCCTCCGGGCTTTCGGTTCCATCCAACTGAGGAGGAGCTTCTCCATTACTATCTGAGGAAGAAAGTGGCCTTTGAGAGGATTGATCTTGATGTGATTCGAGAAGTTGATCTCAATAAGCTTGAGCCATGGGATATTCAAGGTACGCATTAACTCTTCATCAACTTGAATTCATATATACGCAGTCACAATTCATGGTGGTTGGTTTGTTAATTAATTTTTCTGACATGATGCAGAGAAGTGCAAGATAGGTTCCACCCCACAAAACGATTGGTACTTTTTCAGTCACAAAGATAAGAAGTACCCGACCGGAACTCGAACCAATCGGGCAACGGCTGCCGGGTTTTGGAAGGCCACAGGGCGGGACAAGATCATCTACAGCGGCTTTAGAAGAATTGGGTTGAGAAAGACGCTTGTGTTTTACAAGGGAAGAGCTCCTCATGGGCAAAAGTCGGATTGGATCATGCATGAATATAGGCTTGATGAAAGCAACACCCATGACACCACCGTAAGCCATTAATTCTCCGGATATACATACTTCCATCTATTCAAACTTGACATACTCATTCATATATTGCTATGTGCATATATATATATATATACAGGTTTGTAATTCAATGGCCGAGTCAATGGCCGAAGATGGGTGGGTGGTATGCCGAGTATTCAAGAAGAAGAATTATCAGAAAGCCTTAGAGAGCCCTAAAGCCTCCTTCTCCATGGAATCATCAAGCAACCAAATGCACAGTTCCAGAAACGATGGGGTGCTTGATCAGATACTCATGTACATGGGAAGGACTTGCAAGCTCGAAAACCATGATCAATCCTTGAATAACTTATCAGAAAGATTTATGCATCTCCCAAGGCTCGAGAGCCCAACGCTTCCAACTTTTGATCAGGACCGTAGCTTCAAAGCTTGCTACCAGGCCATTGATGAGATGCTCATAGACACCCCTTCAACAAACCAACCAAGTAATGGTTGTGACAACAATGACCCAGTTGAAGATCATGATGAGTACCCCAAAACCAGGCTAAATGACTGGGCTACCCTTGACCGCCTTGTGGCATCTCAGCTGGGTCAACTCAACGGCCAAGATCAAGAGACATCAAAGCACAACCTGTCATGCTTTGGTGATCCAAACATGGCCTTTTGTTCTTCTCCTCCACATGATCATGATCATGACCATGACGTACAACTATCATATCCATACCTACGTACAAGTAGATCCCATCACCAATCTGAAGTCTACAGCAACGAGAATGATCTTTGGAACTTCACCAAATCGCCTTCATCGCCGTCGTCGTCAGACCCACTGTGCCACTTGTCGGTATAAGGGAAGCACTTGGACCGACATATATTCTATACATAATACAATAGTAGCTCTTAATGCTTAATTAAAGTACATGTAGGGCTTGTAGTACGTATATGTTTACATGAGAATAATATATACTTGTGACCAATAATAAATAAATAAATAAAAGGATTAAATAAATTAGGTGGTAATTGAGATAGTGTGGCATTGTCAACCATTATCTTTTTCTTAAATAAACATGTCTTTCCATTAAAGTTAGAAATTTGTTGAGAGCTGTCACATGCATGCTCTTAATTTCTAACTTGTAATTATGCTCTCATCCTTTTCTGTTAACTGTATTGATAAGCTTGGCGAATCAATGATAGCATTGTGCTGACTTTTGATCGTATATTTGGTGTCCTGGAAAGTTTATCATATAATATCAACGTTATATAAATGAAGACATATATACATATGCAGAAATTATCATATGCGGAGATTCGGACGTTATTATCATGTAGACGTCATATATTTTATACTACATTTTCTTGTTTTTTTGCTTGTTTACAATGACATCTGCACGATAATAACATGCAGACATCCAAATAAGAGAATAACTGTATATATATAATTGGTAAGAGGTGTGATCATTCCAATAAATCAATTTGTTATTCTTGTGTCCATAAACAGTAAGATCTCGGAGTTATTTCACAGCTTCACCTAACGTACCAATGAAGGGGGTTAGCAAAAGCGACCACCCTTTACCAATAAAGATAAGATATAAGAGCATGAGAATCATATGAAATTTCAAATCTCTCTCTCTCTCTCTCTCTCTCTCCCCATTATAGTGCTACACTTACATGGAACCTATACATATACAATAAACCATATAAGCATAGTAAAATCAACGGCGGAACCACATACAAGACTATAGTGGGTTAGGGATGGCATTTGGCATGAGCAAAATGAGCGATGGTATAAGGCCTCATAATAAATATTATTTTAGTGATGTGAGTTTATTATAAGGATATTTGTAAAAATGTCACATGAACTTATACCTTAGTTTCAATTTGTCACCTTAAAGAAAAATTTAAGAGAAATATAACTTGAATTTTTCAAAATCTATAATTTATCATCTGAATTAATACCATTCAAATTTTCATCTATTATTACAAGTATTTTAGTCTTTATATTTTGAAGGGAAAAAAAAAAAGCCTTTCTCTTCTTCTCCTCCCCCACCCCTTTGTTTTTATCTCACCCACGACCTGACCACCCCATCCTCACCTCACCCACAGCCCCAACCCCTACCATCTCATTTCTTCTTTAAGGTGACAAATTAAAACTGATATATAAGTTCAGGTGACATTTCTACAAATATCCTTTTATCATATTGGTATATATGGAAGAAAAAAAATTTCAAGCCGCATGTATCTTAATTTTTTTTCAAGCTTCAGCCTTCAACCGTTCAACACTCTCCCTCTCAAATTCTCAGATTTTGTTTTTCCTATACTTTGTATATTATATATATATATATTTGTTGGTTATTGATAATTAGTAATTTGATGATCACAAGATTTTGATTGTATAGTTTGATTATTTTTTTATAAATTTTCATTGAAGACTTTATTTTAGGAGATCCTCTTGTTGTTTTGGCACAAGGCCCCTAAAATCTCATAGCCGCCGGGGTTATAGCTCAGATAGTGTTTCCAGGATAACCCATTGCTATGGTGGTCTGATTGGAATCCATTGATTGCATTTTTTATATTTTTTATTTTGTAAAAGGGGGACAGCTGGTGGCAAGCCACGGCCATCCATCCCTTTTGGGACCCGGAGAGGCTATAGGGAATTTCACCCCGTCCCTGACCCTCATCGCTTGATTCACCAACGGCAGGAATCGAACCCAGGATCTCCCGTTTACATAGGGCCTGGGAAACGCCCTTACCACTGGGCCAACCCGTGAGGGTTTCCATTTATTGCATTTTCATGTCATCAATTAATACAAAATTCACATTCCACCAAACTTCGCTTCCGTGGTTTATTGTTTTCATTTTTCCAATAATGCCCTCATGTTGAAATGGGCTGGTTTGTTGTGAATTTCCAGATTTTTAGGACTTCCTTCACGACTTATAGATGGAATTTTTGCAAGGAATGCTAGCGCGTGGTTTGTTGTTAAACCTAAATTAGGACATGCTTTTAATGACTAATAGCAATCAACTCATTAGCAATCATATTTGTTTTACGTTAAAGTTTATTGGAAATTGGTAATAAAAAATAAAAGAATTAGAATTTAAGCTAGTCCATCCATCAAAATTTCATGATTTTATCCTTGAATAAATATCTTACATTATATTTTATTTATGATGTGACCTTATATTTTATTTGTTTTATATTCGATTCTCCGCTTTCTTAACATCGTTTATATTAAAAAGCAAAATAACCGATAACCCAATATGGCTTCCATGGCTATTTCATGTTTTGTACTTCCGTGGCAGGGTAGCAGCCTGCCCGTCCTTTTTGTGGAGACTATAACTGCTGCTATCTGCTACAGAAACAGTATTGAGAGTTGCATTAGGTTTTAATTCCGTTTGAAGAAGGAAACGTTTCATCAAAAAGTGTTGTTTTGTTATTTAAAATGGGTATAACGACGCATTATATTAGGTTTTCCTTCTGTTTGAAGAAGGAAATTTTTCATCGAAAAGTATGGTTTGTTACTTAAAATATGTATAACGACGCGTTACATTAGGTTTTCCTTCCGTTTAAAGATGGAAACCTTTCATCAAAAAGTGTTATTTTGTTACTTAAGATGAGTATAACAGCGCGTTTAATTAGTATAACATTATTATATATGTCCAACATGTGTGTGACGACAAGTTTAAATGATATAACATTATTAAGAAAACTTACAAAGACCTTTATCTCTATGACGTGACTATTCACCAGTATATGTCAAACGTACTGATGTGTACTGTTTGCCCTAATTTGGTCCCCACTGTTCCACTAAAGATTTCAAATCCAAACCCTAGCTTTCCACCATTTCTATCTTCATATATGCTCATGTATATGCTTTGAACTTGCTGGAGTATAAACCAGCTGATAGAAGTAGGGGAAATTATGTATTGAAGAAATTAATAAAATATTACAACACTTGCTATAACAACTCTTACATATACTTGAGTCTATACATCAAGATCATTTTCTCCATCTGGCGCATAATTTTAGGGAGATGGCCCATATCACCCTAATTAAGGAGAAAAAGTAACTTTAGTTTAGTTTATATGAAAGAAATATCCGACTAACAAAAACTATCAAAACATGCAGAAACGACCAATTGATGATATATTGGTATAGCCTTGCGAACTACAACATCTAATAACTCATAAAATAAAGTGAAGAAATCATGGAAGGAGACTTAGGGCAGGGCCACCAGTGTCCGCACCAAACTTGTACCATTAAAAAAAAAACAAAAAGAAAAGAAAAAACGTTTACCATCCAGTTGATCTACATATGAAGTGAAGAGGTTCATGCATCCATTAATGATAGGTACCCATAATGAATACTGACATTGTTTTCATAGGCGATAATGATTGGAAATGCACAAAAGTGTTTCTAGGTAAGTCACTGACTGATGCTGCCAATTCTCTAATCCTAGAAGCAAACAAGTCGCAAAAAGTTAGTGAAGTTCTTGCACATAATGGAAAATGCGAAGAATGTTACACGGTGAATATTACTTACATATGAAGGTTAATTCTAACCGTTGTAATTCATTATAAACGCTCACATCAAAGATCAATAATTGCTCACTACGGAGGAAGTAACTGACTGTCAATGGAACACAAACTAAGTCCGTCCTTGTAGCATTGCCCATGATTTGGAAATTGGAGAGAATCTGTCTTACAAATAGGAGGCGTATCCCCTTATATCTCGTTATGTATACAACACTCATCGCGTGGCACAAAGAAATATACCCAAAAACGACACAATACCGTATATAATAAGTGATACACGCAATCTGTCTTACAAATAGGAGGCGTATCCCCTTATATCTCGTCATGTATACAACACTCATCGCGTGGCACAAAGAAATATACCCAAAAACGACACAATACCGTATATAATAAGTGATACACGTATGAAATAAAGACTTGCAAGCTATAGTAGATCAAGCCCAGCAGGGAGGCATTCAGTTATAATATTGGAGCAAATCAATGGCATAAATTGGGAAAATAGAATCACACCCACGATAAGTAACCTTTCTGGGTTATGAACTTGTGATCCATATTTGATATGACGATCTTGGTTGTCGTCTACATAAAGTGTATG